CCCCCCCCCCCGGTCCTAATGGGGTCCTGCCCCCAGACCGGGCTGCCCTCCCTGGGGAGGGCCCACATCCCAAGGTGCTCCACCAGCCCCCTCTCGGGCCTCATCTTCCTCCGGGCCTCCGGGAGAAGTCTCTCGGGACCCCCAACACAGTCCTGCGGCAGCCCTCCTCCACCGGGAAGCCCCTCCAGCGGGCTCCCAGGGGCCAGCCCCCCAGCTCCCTTTGTTCCCCAGGAGGCATTCCAGAAATGTTTCTGGTAAGATAAACAGAACTCTTGACCCCTCTCTGGGCTGTGGGGAGAAGGCTGCCCGCACTCCTTCTGTTCTTGGCCACCTGGGGGCCGCTGCACCCCTGGCACCCCCCCCCAGGGGGAGGTGGGCCCTGTGGGCCGGCGACGCCTGTACTCAGGCTGCACCCACAGCCTTCCCCAGCCGTCCACTTACCACCGAAGGGCGCGTCCATGATGGCGCAGGCGGGCAGGCGGGTGGCATCACCGGCAGGGACACTTGCTCAGAGGCAGGGCCAGGCTCCCCACCCGCCCGTGGGGAAACAATAGCCAGCGCCGGGGAGTATTTGACCAGCGATAATCTGGGCCTGTTGGGCGGCCGCTGGCCCCCTCCCTCCCTCGCTCCCTCCCTCCCCGATAAGGCCGCCCCAACCACTTGCCCAAACCCCAGAGGGGGAGGGCGGTGCCCGCTGGACTCACCATTCACCTGCTGGGGGGAGTAGGCCTCGGAGCCCGAGTCTGGGGGAGAGTCCGGCAGTGTGCTGCAGGAGCAGGAGGAAGGGGCTGCTGGGCGGGCAGCACTTCCGTGGGGCAGGGTCCCGGAGACCCTAGAGGCTGGAGGCACTGGGGTCTCCTCGCTCCCTCCCCCAGGGGAATTTCTCTGCACCAGCCACCTTGCCTTGCCAGGCAGGGCCTGGGGCTGAACTCAGGCAGCGGGTCTCGGGCTCCTCCCACCCGGCGTCCCCTCAGACCTACTGGGCACTTGGGGACCGGGAGCCAAGGTCCCCGGTGAGGGCACAGGGATTCAAGGACTCCTCCCAGATGCAGAGGCCAGGCTGGCTCCTCCTTCCCACACCCGCTGAAGCCCCACTTTCCAGAAATTCTAAGGGGCTCCAGGGGGCTAAGCCCGGAGAGATTCAGTGGGGGTCACCATGGGCAGGTGTGGACCAGGCAGGGAGCCAGCTCCGCCAGGCCTGGGTTTATTTTTCTCTTGCAGGTTCTGTTTTATCAGCGGCTCAGGCAAAGGGAACAAACTCAGGCCTGAGAGACCAACATGTCCTGCGCGAGCCCTGCACTCGCCCGCTGAGGGGAGGCTGTGGCCAAGCAGGGATCCCCCTCTTTGGCCATCCTGGTCCCCGAATCTGGAAAGACTGCCCGCCACTGGGCCCAGGCAGCTGCCTTGAGGCAGCGAGCCCTCATGGCCACAGCCCTGGGCTGATTCTAGAGTCCTCAGGCTCCCCTGAACGAGCCACCCACCCAACCCCTCAGGCTAGGCGAGGATGACCCAAAAGGCCATAGGGGCTGAATTCTCGGTAGCCCTCAAGGCCACTAGGGCTGACTGGGGTCTCTGCCCTGCGACCCCCATCTCCTGCCTGTTCTCTGTACTCCCCTGACCACGGCCCCCGGTCTCTCTAATGTGTAAAGGTCTCTCACACCCTCTGGTCCCTGCAGTGAAACGCCCCAAGTCCATGGGACCTTGTATTCTTTCCTCATAACTCTTCGTGGTGCTCATGAGTCCTCGATTTGGTGATTTATTGATTAGCAACCCTCTCTCCAATCAGGCCGAGGGATCTACTACAGGAGGGATGTGTTTGTCTTGTCTGGCACCTAGAACAGGGCCCAGAAGGGGCAGGGGCAGGGAGAAGTCCTGGGTCCCTCCCTGGAGCAGCCCGGGCCACATGGTCTCTGTGCAGCTCTGGGCGAGCCCTTTCTCTCCCGGGACGAAGGGCCCCGGTGTGCCATTCGCATCCAGCTGAGGGGCAACAGATCTTTACCGCCAGGCGAGCTGGTTTGGGGGTCCCCCAGGAGCTGGTGCCTGGAGAGGGTTGATAAGCTTCCACAAACAGAGCCACAGGGCACAGCGGCAGGCACCCAGCAGGTGCTTATTACGAGTCAGTTCCCTTTCCTGGTCTTTGCCCTTCAGGGTCTGGGCATCGGGACAGGCTCACGGCAGATGTCTGCCCTGCTGTGGCAAAAGCTAACCCCTAACACGGCAGCTCACCTCCAATGCCTCCCTCAGCAAGCCAGGAGAGCTCCGGTCCCCCACCCCCCCCCACCCCCGCCCCGGCATGTCCCCCGTGCTTCCTCCCCGTATCTCCACAGTCCCGGAGGGGAAAGCATTTTGATCTCGTTCTACAGCAAAGACACTGAGGCCCTGACCGAGGCTGTG